TTGGATGTGTTACTACCTTTGGCTGTTATTTGTGCGGAGGGCAGTTCATGGTTTTTCGTTTAAAAAAAAGTTTTCAAAACGCCAAATATTTGTTGTGCGGCTACTAGTCCAAAATCCAGCGAATAAATTGACAAAGACTTAAAGCTGATTCATATTTGACTTTTGAGATGAACCTGCAGTTACGCTACGAAATTAATCAACGCTTAGGCGTATAAACATTTTCTGATTGTTATGAAAGTAGCATCATCCAAGTATTTCGTGCAACGGTCCTTCTTGCTACTCGTTAATTTGTTTTCATGGCAGATTGGCTGGTACTGTTACGCCGCTAATAAATCAGCGATTCAAACCCTTTTCAGCTTGCCTGCCTCCAAGTCTTTGAACAAAAAGAAGCCATTGGACATACAAGCAGTCTTTTCGACGATCAGTAGCTGTTGATGAAATACTGTCACGCATGAGGAAACTCACGCCATATACAATGAGGTGCGAATGGGTTTTGTGCAGCGGGCAGTGAAATTTAGACTAAATTTACCGAACTGTATCCAATATTTTGGCTTGAACGCAGCTAACATTTTGGCGGCTTCTACCGTTGTGAACTGACGAAGTCAGCCACGCTTGTCGTAGCGCTATTAATTGATCTCTGAAGGGTTGAACTTTTGATAAAAACATCTAACTCTTGTTTGTTAATGAACTATCTGGCTTTCTTTTCGCGCTGCTTGCGGATGTCAGACAGTTTCGGGCATTGGTTCAGCATAGTTTTGCTTTTTTTTTTTAATTATTTGATTGAATGATATTATGTGCGAAGAAAATTATCGGCTTTCAATAGAGAAAGAAGCTAGAGTTTTTTGAATTCATTATGTTGAGGAGTGAATACTGGCAGAGTTGCGACATGATTTTGCAAGAATTTGAACATGTGCTAATTGTTGTCAAGCCCCAGAATGAAGAAACGTAAAATCCATAATTGTTCGAATTGGATGATCTTCCGCATACTTCACATCAATCATCAGAGGACGCCAGCAAATCCATCATTTTCGAACCAGCACTTTGTCGTATCGTGCAAAGCCTTTTGCATTCTATGCAGCAAAAATTAGAAGATGAGGAAATAACGCGGCATTTATCTTATAAATTGGAAGAGAAATTTTAGTTTTAAAAATTTCAGGAGCATATGCTGTAAAGTTCAGGAATGCTCACTGGCTGAACAGTTGCTGCTGTGGAATGTGTGTCTGTGTGTCTGTCTGTATTTGTGTGTGTGTTGTGTGTATATGTGTATGTATGCCCCTCTGAAATAACTGCTCGTTGGAGTAATTTTTAGATTCAGTTAAAGTCAACTACTGGCCAAAAAATGCATTTCAGCAATTATTTAGGTAGAAACTCCATTTGATAAGTATGTAATAGAATGATAAATAAAGTGACTGTGTCAGAAACGGAATAATGGTATGAGGGAGTGCTATTCTGACATCCAGTAAAACCGAGATGTATAACTTCTCCTTTCATTCTAGTGATGCAGGAGTGCGGGAAAGGTATCGAATAGATATGTGGCGCATCATTGTACGAGTTTTCACCCAATTTCAAAAAGTTTTCAAAAGAACATTAAAGGAGCAGAAACTGAAAAATTCTGGATTAGGCGTTACAACAGTTCCAGCTTCCTGTGAAATGTTTCGGTCGTCACTGGTTTATTTTCGAAACCTTTGGCCGAAGACAACACTTGTGCAGAGCACATCCGTAGATACTTTGCACATGGTCTTAACATAATGAAAGTCTGATAAATGTTTTGGAAATTTTTTAAGATACAAACTATGAAAGTTTGTTTGGCACCATAGGCCGGCCGATGAGAGGAATACAGTTGAATATTGACAGTTGTGGGAAAGCAGGAAGTGCCAATTTAGATACCCAGGTAAGCGAGCCTGTACGTGCATTAGCTGTTGTCCTGTCTGTGTTTCATCCCTGAACTGTAAACACAGACG